GCCGTGTGGGTTAAAATTTAATCATGTGAAAATATGAATAATTATAAAACACAGATCTGTATTTTAAATCTCATTGCAAGTTTTTTTTATACAAACGTATAAAGCATGAAGAAAAACATATATGAAGGGTGTACAAGCCATAAAATTAGATGAAATTGCTACTTATATTTCTTTGGAAATCACATTGTAATCTAAGGAACGTCTAAAAAGCAGAAGAAAGGACAACTTGTGGAAGGTAACATTTCTCTTTTAACCTGAATCAGAGAATAAAGACGCATAGTCCATAGGATTGACTTCAGGAAATCAAAGTCGTATCTGTCGACACACACAGGATGGCACTACCACTTACCTTCTAGCTCCTAGGCGACCATGCTGCCAGAGTTCAAAATGACGGTACACCTCGTTCCTGAACGTACTTGCCCCGAAGCTAGGATCCAGATTTGTTCGGACACTCTAATTTAGAATGTTCGCAATCTTATCTACCGTATATACTCGTCTATAAGTCGGTCCGCCTATAAGTCGGTTGTATTTTAAAAGCGTAAATATCATAGGGACTGACCTCATATATAAAACCATTCATTTTATAGCTCGCCTATAAGTCGGACATAGAGTTTTTGACCAGAAATTAACTCCCAAAAATCCGACTTATAGGCGAGTATATACGGTAGATAACATCATGTCTGAGACATCAATTGCGAAATTCCGGCCTCTTGGTGATGCAGTGGGGATGCCTACAGCAAATGTTCAACCGTGGGTCAGAGAAAATCGTACACATCCCACAACACCACAAAGCAACACATTTGCCCGTATAAAACCAACTGGTTTCTAGGAGGTACGGGGCCATTACGTCAGAAAGCAGTGTCACTGGAACTAATACTCTAGCACCCATTGCCTCTGGCATTTTGGTAATGGCGTACTGAATTTTTAAATTATGAATAATAATGATTATGAAAAAAAAAAACAGATGCAAAAAGTGTGTAATTTAGTTTTACTTTTATATCCGTTGATCTTGTATAATTTTAGTGTTATCTGTAAACTCACTGCCTGTCAGATCCTGGTCTCATTTTCAATCTTTCAAGATAAAAAGATTAAAATTTTCAAAAGTTTACAAGAGACCTAAAATAGATAAACTAGTCTTAATTTATGATAGTTATAAACTTTAGCTGGTATGAATTATTTACTCAATTTTAGTTCACATTTTCCGTTTTATAGATTAATAAACCAGAGGACTTCATCTCCAGTAGACTTGGTGACTACGCCATATTGTTGGTGTGGCGTGTATTGCTACATCCAGTATTTACGGACATTATCTGTCTAGTGATTTTCGCGCCGGTACAGACTGTGTTTATGATGGCGTCGTATCAGATTCAACCGCCAGAGAAATTTACGGAGTGGCCGAAATGGATTAATGGATTCCATAGACAACAGCTAGGAATTACTTTCCTTTCACCAATACCAAGCCTGTCATACGTGGATTGCTGGTCATTGGATCTTGAAGTCTAGTCCACCTGATCCAAGATGAGTTTTGGGGATCTTGCTGCAAGGTCAACCAATAAAAAAAAAACATCAGAAGTAGTTCTAAAACAAATATTGATCAATCTATTTGTTATTGTTATAGGAGCAAAAATGCATATTTTACATTTGCAACGTTTGTTTTGCTCTGCGTTTGCCTTAAAGCTAATTCATCCATTTTTTTTAGGTCTTGCCTTCCCCGACCTCTACCCCTGCCTCTGCCTCTCATTGGGCGTGGCCTACTGCGAGGAACATCCAAACTTGGTTATATTATTTTTCAGATCAGTGCCACTTATTTCCAGTGAAAAACTCATTTTCATTAAAAATGTCATTAGGACCCCTTTTCCTAGAGTGTGGTCCATATTTATTTGAATAATGTGAAGAAAATAGGTATTTTGGACGTTTTAATTGTTCTCCCCATCTTCTTCAGATTGATATTTCTTATATAAGGAGAATGCAGAACTTACCAAAGAATTGTTAGTTTAATTGTACCATCCTCCAATATTTGATATTTGTTGATCACGAGAGCTTTGAGAGCTAGGCATAAATCGAAATGCTTATCTGTTTGAATAATTAGTTGGTGGATTTTGCGGAATTGTGTGGTTGTAGTTAATATTATTTTATACCATATGCTTTGCCGTCTGTGTACGTCTGATATCTAAAACTTCAATAGGAACAATTTTAATAACGATCGAAAATGTTCATTGAAATGTTGACCCCACCTTTTTTACCAACAGTATATGAATATGAAGGTAATTTATTATTGGACTTGTGAGAAACAAAAACACCATCATTCAAAGCTACTTGCATTGCATTGTCAGACTGAAAATGTACCCAACACAGTCGAAATTGCAATTGCGTGTTTTGCATTGTCAAATATGTGTAAATATGTTGTGCCTTTTGACTGAGCAGGATTTGATTGTTGAATTTAAAAAAGAAAGTCGTCTGCAAGTCAACCTGATCAGCCTGAACAGGGCGAAACGGTTTTGCACACCATAGGCTTTTTAAACCCGCATGTTTCACGGAAGAAAATGCAGCTAAAACAATCCGTCTTTTCCTTAAACTTCAATATGCCAATAAAGGAATTGACGCGGTGAATATCAGTAATATTCTTAATCACAAAAGGGTCCAGTCTTGTATTCCACCATATTTCAAGTTAAAGACTACGCCTTGTATTTCCTACAAATATACATCGACCATTGCTTCCAAACTGTTCAATTACAAAAACACTTTACATGGCCTGGATATCGACTATCTGAAAAATAATCCCCTTTCGTGTTCATGTTCTTCTTGGCCCTATAACTATAGTCCTGCTGGACACGTTATCACAGGTGACGTAAAAATAGTTCGTAATGATGACCTTAGATAACTTATTTTAAAAGGTCCTAAATATAGGGAACCCTGATCCTTCAACTGGCGTCGGAATTTCATAAATATTATGGATTCTGTTGAAAATTATGCCAGACGATGGGCCAGATATGAAAAAGTAGACATTGACACCTTGTCAGAATGGATTAAATGTATCAGATCCATGTTAAAGTCACGTATTAAAAGATTGAGGGGAAAAATGAAAACCATCTATCCTTCTGTGTTCAATAAACCAGAAGTGAAAAAAGAATTAGATAGATTACACGATCAGTACGTACTGGTTCCTGCCGACAAAGCAGGTAACAACATTGTCTTCGTTTGTAAGGCTCGTTATATAAATTGCATTCTAGAAGAACTTGGATTTAATTCTACAAGTGGTAATCCTACTTATACATATACTTCTCTTTCTCAGAGCCAAAATGAATTTGAACTACCTTATATATATTGGATTCCGAAACTTCATAAGAATCCTTACAAAGATACATTGCAGGTTCCAGTTAATGTTCAACCAAGCCTCTTTCGTTACTTCTCACTAAAATATTGACAGTAGTGAAGGAAAAACTTCAAGAGTACTGTACATCCATATATTCAAGAAGTGGTGTAAATCAGATGTGGATACTTAAAAATTCTAAAGAACTTTTGGACAATTTGAAATCACAAGACTTTACAAAAATCAACAGCATAAAAACTTACGACTTTTCAACTTTATACACAACAATTCCCCACGACAAATTAACATCCAGGCTTTTTTATATCATTGACAGCTGCTTCTTCAACAAAAATGGAACTCGTAAGTTTACTTACCTCGTCAATGGTCATTTGAAAAAATATTTTGTTAAAACAGATTCTGATTGCACACATAAGTACTCTGAAGTTGACATCAAGAAGATGCTTGAGTTTCTGAATGACAATATCTATGTGGTTTTTGGAGACCAGGTATTCCAACAATCTATTGGAATTCCCAGTGGTATAAATTGCGCTCCGTTATTAGCAGACTTATTTTTTATTCATATGAAGCAGAATTTATGCAAAATTTTTTACGTGAAAAGAAGAAAACACTTGCTGTGGCCTTCAACTCGACATTTAGATATATAGACGACGTATTATCAATTAATAATGATGATTTCCATTCCTACGTCGACACGATATATCCTGGTGAGCTTGAGATAAAAGATACCACAGAGTCCGACACCTCTGCTTCATACTTGGATATTTTACTCGAAAAAGACACTAATGGTTATCTGACAACCAAGCTATATGATAAACGTGATGACTTTAACTTTTCTATCGTCAACTTCCCTTACCTATGCAGCAATATACCCTCATCACCTGCATACGGAGTATTTATATCTCAGTTGATTCGATACGCAAGAGCATGCTCTACGTATGAACAATTTCTTAAACGAGGTAAATTATTGACAAGCAAGTTGATGAAACAAGAATATCAACAGTCTCGTTTAAAGTCATCATTTCGTAAAGTCTATGGTCGATACAATGACCTTGTCAGCAAATACAATTTATCATTGAATGAAATGCTGACTGACGTTTTTCATATCAATTGTTAGTCCATTATTTATACACTGAATTGACTACGGATTTCTTCCGTTAGTTCCTGATTATGACAACGAGCACACGGCGGGTGTGACCGGTCGGCAGGGGATGCTCACTCCTCCATGGCACCTGATCCCACCTCTGATGTTTCGGAGGTCCGTGTTTGCTCTGCTCTCATTTTGTATATTTGATTAATGGACGTTGAGATTGAATATTGTTCGTTATTTCCATATCCTTCTTTTAAACATTGAATAAAGGGAATTGTACATATAATTATATAATTATGTTTCATTAAAATATTATTTTGGGGACAATCATAACAATATTTACATTATTGAATGATTGTCTTAAATACCATAAGTAATGAGACCTGGCTGTAATGTAAATGATTAAAAATATACATGTATTCCCAAGAGACGGGAAGATTGAGACCTTCAGTACTTTTTAAAGAATGTTTAAAAAAATATATAAATTAATCATTGATTCATAAAGATAAGGATGTACCTTAAATTTGCCGAAAATGAGAAAAAGGAATTGTCTCTATATATGTAAAATTCCATCTAACTTCATTTTTATGCCCCGCCATGAAAATGGCCGGGGCATATAGTGTTTGTCATGTCCGTCTTCCGTCCTTCCGTCCTTCTGTCCTTCCGTCCTTCCGTCACACTTTGCGTTTAGCTCTGTTCAAAGCTAAGTTTCAAAGAAACTATCCAAGATATTTTCATCAAACTTCATATGCTGATAGATATTGATGAGAGCTATGGTTCATCTAGGGATGAACACTACCAGACTTGCTTCGGATGCTGGATCTGACTGACATTTTCAAGACGAGTGACCAGGTAAAAGTTTTAGGAACAGATCCATTCCTAAGGAACTATAAGCCCTACTTGGACCAAACTTGCATGGATGATGCATCTAGGGATGGACACTACCAGAGTTGCTTCGGATGCTGGATCTGACCTATATTTTCCAGATGAGTGACCAGGTTAAAGTTTTTAGAGCAGGTCCATTCCTAAGGAACTATAAGCCCTACCTGAACCAAACTTACACGAATGATGCCTCTAGGGATGGACACTACCAGACTTGCTTCGGATGCTGGATCTGACCTATATTTTCATTCCCAAGTAACTATAAGCCCTACCTGAACCAAACTTACATGGATGATGCATCTTTGGATGGACACTACCAGACTTGCTTCGGATGCTGGATCTGACCTATATTTTCATTTCCAAGTAACTATAAGCCCTACCTGAATCAAACTGGCATGGATGATGCATCTAGGGATGGACACTACCAGACTTGCTTCGGATGCTGGATCTGACCTATAATTTTATTCCCAAGTAACTATAAGCCCTACCTGAACCAAACTTACATGAATGATGCATCTAGGGATGGACACTACCAGACTTGCTTCTGATGCTGGATCTGACCTATATTTTTATTCCCAAGTAACTATAAGCCCTACCTAAACCAAAATTGCATGGATGATGCATCTAGGGATGGACACCACCAAACTTGCTTCGGATGCTGAATCTGACCTATATTTTCATTCCATAGTAACTATAAGCCCTACCTGAACCAAACTTATATGGATGATGCATCTTTGGATGGACACTACCAGACTTGCTTCGGATGCTGGATCTGACCTATATTTTCATTTCCAAGTAACTATGAGTCCTACCTGAACCAAACTTGCATGGATGATGCATCTAGGGATGGACACTACCAGACTTGCTTCAGATGCTGGATCTGACCTATATTTTTATTCCCTAGTAACTATAAGTCCTACCTGAACCAAACTTGCATGGATGATGCATCTAGGGATAGACACCACCAAACTTGCTTCTGATGCTGAATCTGACCTATATTTTCAACCCCATGTAACAATAAGTCCTACCTGAACCAAACTTGCATGGATGATGCATCTAGGGATGGACACTACCTGACTTGCTTCGGATGCTGGATCTGACCTATATTTTCATTCCCAAGTATCTATAAGCCCTACCTGAACCAAACTTGCATGGATGATGCATCTAGGGATGGACACCACCAAACTTGCTTCGGATGCTGAATCTGACCTATATTTTCATTCCATAGTAACTATAAGCCCTACCTGAACCAAACTTATATGGATGATGCATCTTTGGATGGACACTACCAGACTTGCTTCGGATGCTGGATCTGACCTATATTTTCATTTTCAAGTAACCATGAGTCCTACCTGAACCAAACTTGCATGGATGATGCATCTAGGGATGGACACTACCAGACTTGCTTCGGATGCTGGATCTGACCTATATTTTAATTCCCAAGTAACTATAAGTCCTACCTGAACCAAACTTGCATGGATGATGCATCTAGGGATGGACACCACCAGACTTGCTTCTGATGCTGAATCTGACCTATATTTTCATTCCCATGTAACTATAAGTCCTACCTGAACCAAACTTGCATGGATGATGCATCTAGGGATGGACACTACCAGACTTGCTTCAGATGCTGGATCTGACCTATATTTTTATTCCCTAGTAACTATAAGTCCTACCTGAACCAAACTTGCATGGATGATGCATCTAGGGATGGACACCACCAGACTTGCTTCTGATGCTGAATCTGACCTTTATTTTCATCCCCATGTAACTATAAGTTCTTCCTGAACCAAACTTGCATGGATGATGCATCTAGGGATGGACACTACCTGACTTGCTTCGGATGCTGGATCTGACCTATATTTTCATTCCATAGTAACTATAAGCCCTACCTGAACCAAACTTATATGGATGATGCATCTTTGGATGGACACTACCAGACTTGCTTCGGATGCTGGATCTGACCTATATTTTCATTTTCAAGTAACCATGAGTCCTACCTGAACCAAACTTGCATGGATGATGCATCTAGGGATGGACACTACCAGACTTGCTTCGGATGCTGGATCTGACCTATATTTTAATTCCCAAGTAACTATAAGTCCTATCTGAACCAAACTTGCATGGATGATGCATCTAGGGATGGACACCACCAGACTTGCTTCTGATGCTGAATCTGACCTATATTTTCATTCCCATGTAACTATAAGTCCTACCTGAACCAAACTTGCATGGATGATGCATCTAGGGATGGACACTACCAGACTTGCTTCAGATGCTGGATCTGACCTATATTTTTATTCCCTAGTAACTATAAGTCCTACCTGAACCAAACTTGCATGGATGATGCATCTAGGGATGGACACCACCAGACTTGCTTCTGATGCTGAATCTGACCTTTATTTTCATCCCCATGTAACTATAAGTCCTACCTGAACCAAACTTGCATGGATGATGCATCTAGGGATGGACACTACCTGACTTGCTTCGGATGCTGGATCTGACCTATATTTTCATTCCCAAGTATCTATAAGCCCTACCCGAACCAAACTTGCATGGATGATGCATCTAGGGATGGACACCACCAAACTTGCTTCGGATGCTGAATCTGACCTATATTTTCATTCCATAGTAACTATAAGCCCTACCTGAACCAAACTTATATGGATGATGCATCTTTGGATGGACACTACCAGACTTGCTTCGGATGCTGGATCTGACCTATATTTTCATTTTCAAGTAACCATGAGTCCTACCTGAACCAAACTTGCATGGATGATGCATCTAGGGATGGACACTACCAGACTTGCTTCGGATGCTGGATCTGACCTATATTTTAATTCCCAAGTAACTATAAGTCCTACCTGAACCAAACTTGCATGGATGATGCATCTAGGGATGGACACCACCAGACTTGCTTCTGATGCTGAATCTGACCTATATTTTCATTCCCATGTAACTATAAGTCCTACCTGAACCAAACTTGCATGGATGATGCATCTAGGGATGGACACTACCTGACTTGCTTCGGATGCTGGATCTGACCTATATTTTCATTCCATAGTAACTATAAGCCCTACCTGAACCAAACTTATATGGATGATGCATCTTTGGATGGACACTACCAGACTTGCTTCGGATGCTGGATCTGACCTATATTTTCATTTTCAAGTAACCATGAGTCCTACCTGAACCAAACTTGCATGGATGATGCATCTAGGGATGGACACTACCAGACTTGCTTCGGATGCTGGATCTGACCTATATTTTAATTCCCAAGTAACTATAAGTCCTATCTGAACCAAACTTGCATGGATGATGCATCTAGGGATGGACACCACCAGACTTGCTTCTGATGCTGAATCTGACCTATATTTTCATTCCCATGTAACTATAAGTCCTACCTGAACCAAACTTGCATGGATGATGCATCTAGGGATGGACACTACCAGACTTGCTTCAGATGCTGGATCTGACCTATATTTTTATTCCCTAGTAACTATAAGTCCTACCTGAACCAAACTTGCATGGATGATGCATCTAGGGATGGACACCACCAGACTTGCTTCTGATGCTGAATCTGACCTTTATTTTCATCCCCATGTAACTATAAGTCCTACCTGAACCAAACTTGCATGGATGATGCATCTAGGGATGGACACTACCTGACTTGCTTCGGATGCTGGATCTGACCTATATTTTCATTCCCAAGTATCTATAAGCCCTACCCGAACCAAACTTGCATGGATGATGCATCTAGGGATGGACACCACCAAACTTGCTTCGGATGCTGAATCTGACCTATATTTTCATTCCATAGTAACTATAAGCCCTACCTGAACCAAACTTATATGGATGATGCATCTTTGGATGGACACTACCAGACTTGCTTCGGATGCTGGATCTGACCTATATTTTCATTTTCAAGTAACCATGAGTCCTACCTGAACCAAACTTGCATGGATGATGCATCTAGGGATGGACACTACCAGACTTGCTTCGGATGCTGGATCTGACCTATATTTTAATTCCCAAGTAACTATAAGTCCTACCTGAACCAAACTTGCATGGATGATGCATCTAGGGATGGACACCACCAGACTTGCTTCTGATGCTGAATCTGACCTATATTTTCATTCCCATGTAACTATAAGTCCTACCTGAACCAAACTTGCATGGATGATGCATCTAGGGATGGACACTACCAGACTTGCTTCAGATGCTGGATCTGACCTATATTTTTATTCCCTAGTAACTATAAGTCCTACCTGAACCAAACTTGCATGGATGATGCATCTAGGGATGGACACCACCAGACTTGCTTCTGATGCTGAATCTGACCTATATTTTCATCCCCATGTAACTATAAGTCCTACCTGAACCAAACTTGCATGGATGATGCATCTAGGGATGGACACTACCTGACTTGCTTCGGATGCTGGATCTGACCTATATTTTCATTCCATAGTAACTATAAGCCCTACCTGAACCAAACTTATATGGATGATGCATCTTTGGATGGACACTACCAGACTTGCTTCGGATGCTGGATCTGACCTATATTTTCATTTTCAAGTAACCATGAGTCCTACCTGAACCAAACTTGCATGGATGATGCATCTAGGGATGGACACTACCAGACTTGCTTCGGATGCTGGATCTGACCTATATTTTAATTCCCAAGTAACTATAAGTCCTACCTGAACCAAACTTGCATGGATGATGCATCTAGGGATGGACACCACCAGACTTGCTTCTGATGCTGAATCTGACCTATATTTTCATTCCCATGTAACTATAAGTCCTACCTGAACCAAACTTGCATGGATGATGCATCTAGGGATGGACACTACCTGACTTGCTTCGGATGCTGGATCTGACCTATATTTTCATTCCCAAGTATCTATAAGCCCTACCTGAACCAAACTTGCATGGATGATGCATCTAGGGATGGACACTACCAGACTTGCTTGGGATGCTGGATCTGACCTATATTTTCCAAACAAGCAATTCAGCTGCATCACTATTCTGGATATTCTGATCAAATTTTAAACACATTCAAATTTTCATGTTGCTTTACTGATATATCCTCGGCGGGGCATTCATGTCCTATGGACATATTTCTAGTCATTTACTATTTCCATGCGTAAAACCTTTAACTGGATTTTAGATGAACTGAACGAAAGGATATTTTGTAGTGAACTAAATCCTGAAAAACAGAATCGTGGAAATATTCCATGTAAGCACCGATAGGGAATCTTAAGAAAGAATAATTCAGAGCTTCATCTCCCATAATGTGAAATTAAAACATCCTCATCTCAACTGCGCCATTCGGAATAGGGGTCAACATCCCAATGTTGACTAAGTCTGGCACCTCTTATTGGCCGCTGTGTTAGGGATGGTCGAGATCGTTATGCTGTGTGCTATGTATACAAAAGGAGCAAAACACACCCATTGTATTAGGAAAGAAGCTTTGAAACTTAAAGATAAAGAAATTATTGAAAGAACAGTACCATCAACCAGTGACTAGCATGAAACCTGTAGAGAAACTTGCTCTTAAATTGTTTGAAATGCACATGTTGTAATGTATGCCTGAAGTTATGTCCATGTGCAAAGAAAATTTCTGAGCACATTACTCTTTCTTACTGAGTTCCACGTCGTTTCCCGCATTTTTGTCGGAAAGTTTACTTCGTCGACGAAGGAGGTTTTGGAGATGCTTTTCTGTTTCGCCTTATCTGATTGGTTAGATATTTAAACTGTATTATAATTTGCCAATCAGATAAGGCGAAACAGAAAAGCAGCTCCAAAACCTCTTTCAACGCTGCCAATGGAGAAAATTTTTTGTATCCGATTAATTAATCGTCCGATTACGGCATATCAAACGATAATAGCGGGGTTTAGGTTAAAGAGACTAATCAAAGAACATCTCCCAGACAGAGTAATTGCAAAA